ATTAAGTCTTCCTCAGCAGAAGATCTGCCAGGACCACGTGAAGTAGCAGAGTCAGAGGAGCGTACTAGACATGTGATTGCTTTCGGCTTCGCTGAGCGTGCTGAGGCGGACCGCATTGCTTCCGAGTTGGAGGGCATGGTGCAAAAACTTTTGGGGGAACGGCATGGTAATACTATTACGGCCCCAACGAAACCATCCAAGATCGGTTTCCTGTCTTTTCCGGCGGTCCGGCATCATATCGAGTTCTAGTCAAAAAGAAATCGGGACACCGAGGATGTCAAACAATTCTTTGGCGACGTATTTCTCCGCAGTATTTTGATTAAGGACGAGAGGGCCCAGGATAATATGCTAGGGTACACGAAGCACCACCTCGCCGACCACGATTAGCTCAAGGATAAGGAGGTGAAGATTGTCTGGTCGAAGAAAACGGTCATATTGAGAAGTGCGGGTGGCAGAGATACGAAGGTCGACTGGTGCGACGATCATGGGAGTGGTGCGCGTCAGTATCTGGGAACATCGTTGCAACAATAGTGGGAGACTCTATGACAAAGTGGAAGAAGGTATCCCTAGACCCCGACACGGAAAGCGACTACTGACGTCGACGCGGCGCCGACGGACGAGGACGCGGAGGAGGAGGAAGACGAGAAGGCGCAATGTTATCCACCCGTACAACCACAATCCCATCAAATTCCAGTTTTGCATATGTTGGGGTAGCAGTTTCCGACTCAGCCAATATTAGTCAATATCCTCATGGGTGGAGGTAGGGGTAATTTTTGTACAGTTTCTGGCGTTTTCCCATTGGCTTCAATTCGCAGGGCGGTCGTGCAATCCACTGAGCAGGACCAGAAGCAAGATTATCAGCACATGACAATCATTTTCGCATTCTCAAAGACGTGCGCGGCCTCTCGAATATCGATCGGCTCGAGGAGCAGATCCACGAGTTGTCTTCGATCGAGGCGTATATCGTCTTTCCCGACGAGACGTGGCAAAAGGGAACGGAGATAATACTTCCAGCTCCTAGTGGGGCACATGGTGGCATATGGTGGCATCTCTGGTAGCCGTGAGGTTGCCATTCTTATTGAAAAGCATTGGGGCAACATATCAAAGTATTGTCGGCTACTTCTAGGCGCGCTGCATATATCGACATTGTCAGGTGGGGCTGAGCATGTGATTAATCACCGCGGACTTTCCGCCTTCTGGGTGCGCTGACGCACGCGCGCAGGAAATGTATTCAACTTTGAAAGAACTGCGTTTGGATGCCGTTCGCGAAAAGTTCAAGTGCTACATCGGATCGGATTTCGATGCGCAAATGGGCAGTTTGACACAGGGCGATGATGTTAGAACGATTGGGCACCGCGGTTCCGGCAGTGCGAACTCCCTATAATGCTTGGGCTTGAGCTTGAGCTTGAGGTTGTAAGCTTGAGATGCCTATGATAATATGGTTCTTTGCAGCGCGTACTTTTCAAAGAGACCAGAGCAGCGGTCCACGCGTTGCAGGTCTTCCGGGAAAGAAGCGCGTATTGGTTATACACTCGTGGACCGGAGAGCGTGGCGCCGCGTCATCAACGCAGACGCGCATTCGCGCGTCGACCTGGGCTCTGACCACAAAGCTGCCCAAGTGAGCGTCGGAATCCAGACGAGTCGGAAGAGACGGCGGAAGACGGCAAAACAGAAGACAATCGCACAATGGAAGACGGTTGATACAATGCATCACAAAGTGAATTCCATAAACGTTTTTCTGTCATCGCTGCAGAGTCGTGATGAGCATTCGGGGGGCGAGCTGATTGAAGAAACGATGCTGCAAGCCGCGCCGACCGCTCAAGTTTCGCAGTCTTCGCAGACCGCCAACGGCAGACCTACGAGTGAAACCCTCCAAGGGCTTCTTGATCATCGTAGGCTCCTTCGACGCGTTTCTGGCTTGCGTTCAGACATCGGCAAGGAGGTCAATCGGGAATTGCGAAGACTGTGCCGTCTAGAATGCAAAGAGCGAGTCGCAGACATTACGGTTGGGCGAAGGACTCGGAAGTATACCTCTCGTCAGGGATAGACGTAGACGTAGACTTATCAATTCCATGGTGGACTCCACCCGCGAGGAACAAGTGGGCGGGCAATCCATGGCAAACGTATTTGCAGATCATTGCGCAGAGTTGCGCGCGCCCGGACAACCGGCAGGCGCGCCCGCGGAAGGAGCGCCCATGGCAGATGGCGAAGAACAGTCGCCAGTCACGAAGAAGCCGATGAGCTCGCCGATGGGGCTCGCCGACGGAGCTTGCCGATGGGGCCGGAACTTGCGTCGCGGACGTTGCAGGGGCACTTCTGGCATCGTGGATGGAATGGTCAGGGATGCTGGCGGTGCTCTGGAGTGCGCGCCATGGGAATTTTGCGCTGCTATTCTGGGCAATCTGGATCTCGCGCCAGCGAAATGGAAAAGCCCTGTAGTACATGCGATTCTCAGAGGCGAGGCGCGAAGCAGGGGGGCGCCTTGAGCTCGTTGCTCTTCGACGCAGTGCTCGAAGACATTTTCGGGGAAGTCAGAGAAACGTGGCCCCGTCGTGGTTTGGGCGCCCCGTCGGGTCTCGCAGACGTTGCTTTACTGTCGAGCTTCCGGTTTGCGGGCGACGTGTTGTTCTGTGCGAAAACTTGCGCCAATTCGAAGCAAATGCTTGCCGACCCCATTGCTTCCGCTTCTGCAAGGGGGCTGTCGTCGCCCTCGGCGCGAGCGAAGGTGCCCAGCGACCTGGCAGAGAGGACCGGGGGAATATCGTGAACATTGTTGAACGCGCGTGGATTAGTGCTCGAAGTTTTGCCTTTCAGTGGCGGCGTCGAGCACCCCGTGCGGAAGCCCACTTTTGAAGACCCTGCCGGTGCTGAGCTAGGCGATCGCATTTCTTCCAGTTGGGACAATTTGCGTGGCGTACCAGGGCGAGCCCACTAAAATGGATTACTTTCTGCGCGACTATTTGGAGCTTTTCGACGCCGCGGCGAAGCCGACGGTGCTCTGCGGAGCAGCAGTTTGGGCAATGCTCAGTCTAGGATGTTGCGCGTGATCTCGGGGGGGGGGGGGCGAGCTCGCGCGGGCGACCCGTTGAGGGATGCCATTGAACCACGGGGGGGCTCGGTCCAGCGATCCCCGAGAGAAGCATAATCATATATGGTCGAATTAAATATTGCATTTGAATCCGATTTCGCGCAGACGAACGACGTGTGAGGGCTGCGGCCCGCGCGCCTTGCCCCGTGCGGGTCGGTTTCTTTCGCCGGACACGGCGCGCCTGCCTGCCTGCCTGCCATGCTGCTGCTGATGGTGATGATAATGCGGCTGCTGATGATGATGATGTTGATGGTGCTGGTGATGGTGATGACGTTGCTGGTGATGATGATGATTGTGATGATGCTGATGCTGGGTGATGATGATGGTCCTGGTACTGATGCTGATGATGATGAGGATGCTGGTGATGATGATGTTCATGTTGGTGCTTATGAAGATGCTTCTGAGGATGCGGATGAATATGCTGCCGATGATGATGATGATGATGATGATAATGATGCTGATGACTATGATATTTGTGATTATGCTGCTGTTGGTGATGCCGTTGATGATGCTGCTGATGATGACGACGATGCTGTTGTTAATGATGTGGAGGATGACCATGACGAGTAGGAGCAAGAGGAGTATGAGAAGGAATGGGGGGACAACCGTCATTTGTGACACCTTTCATTTGGGTCATCATTGGGCTGGTTTGGGCTCCCGCGGGGCGGTTTTGGGTTTGTTTTGGTGCCGTATTGGGCCGTCACTTGGGTCCTCCTAGGCCGTCTTGAGGCCCGGGGCTGTCTTGGTCGTATGGAGGGTGTGTTGAAGCCGTCGTGGGGCCCTGTTGACGCCGTCTTGGGCCGTTGGGGGCCCTCTGAGGCCGTATTGGCTTACTCCGTCGGCCCTCTACAGCTAGTTTTGGGCCGTGTTGGAGGCCTCTTGGGCCAGGGCCATCACAGGGTCCTCTTGGACCATCTTTGCGTTCATGGGGGCCTCTTGAGGCCATCTTGGAGGCTTCTTGGGCCATCTCGAGCTGACGGACCCCGAGACTGCAACAAATTCAGAAACCAGAGGGACATCAACGATTTTGGCCTCTTCCGGCCCGGTTGGGGGTCCTCTTGTGGCCCTGTTGGATGCATTTTGGGCCGTTTTGCGGCCATCTTGGGCCGCCTTGGGGTCATTTTGAGCTGTCTTCGATGCGTTTTTGGGTCAACTTGGCGGCCTTGATCGTCTGTCTGGGCGCCGTCTTGGAAATTCTGGGCGTTGACCAACCGTTTTTAATGAGAGATCGTGGCTTTGGAAGCCCCTGGGGAGGGGGGCGATGCATGCGGGAACTGCGAGTAGAGCGCTTCCCCCCCCTCCCCCCCCAAATCGAGTACAACAACCCTACCAGACAGCCCTTGGCAGGCATTGTTCCCCGCCTTACCGTGTACAGTGCACAGTGGCAGACTTTTTGTCCCCGCACGTCGATCCGCGATTACCACGCGAACGACGGACACACATCAGACGGAGACGTGTCTGAGCCCGCCCAAGACGTCTGGCAGAACCCAAGGAGGTCGAGGAGTCATTTCGGATACCGCGTAGGGCGCAGCCCCGCCGGATCCCCAATGGGGACAGGGGTTCAGAAAGCAGCTCCAGTTCTGCGTTTGGCTTCGTGCGGAGAGCGCATGCTAAGGACTGAGCTCCTTCAGTTTAACGACCTGGCCTCTGAGGGTCCCCATGGCGACCAGGGAGGCCACGATGAGTGACCAGGTGACCAGAAGAATTTCGGTGTGTTCGTATAGCGATTTCACATGTCCTTCAATTCAGTAATCCTGCCTTCTCAGGTTCTCGCGGTGTGCCTCACGGGCCAGATCATTAAATCGAAGCAGCATGGGCGGTCTGTCGGCAAGGGGGACGAGAGAGGAGTGTGAGCGGTGGAGGGGGAGGTGGCGGCGAGTGGCCGGTGCGGCGAGCAGTGGCCGCCGCGAAGGCGCTGGAAGGCCGCGACCTCGCCGCCGTCGAGCTGCTGGATTCCTCGCTGTGGCTGCCGGAGGTGCAGCAGTGCTGGAGCCCGCTCGCCCAAATCGATGGAACACAAGGAGGCACAGACAGAAGCTTTCGGATGTCCTCGCGGATGTCCTGGGCCGGCGCTGGACCCGCCTGGCGGCGCTTCTGGCGCAACCGCGGCAGGGAAGAGGGTTCAGCGCTGATCCAAGAAAGCCGCGAGGATTTCCAAGAGTGCTCCCCTAACAGTGCTTGCACGTAGGTTTCCTTACTTGTCTTCTTCAGTGCATGATGGGTTCCCGGGGTTTTCGTCTGGTGCCGCCCCAGGGGCGCCTCGTGGGCGCCTCGTGCTGAGAGGGTTGTCTGGGTTTTCGCCCGGTATCCGCCCGTACCCGCTTGTGGGTGCCTCGTAGGCGCCTCGTGCTGCCTACCACATAGCTTGCACCACTTAGACTGTACCACGTAGTTTGCACCACAGCTTCCACCACATAGCTTCCATCACATGAGTTACACCACATCCAACGTACCACTAAAAACACCACGTGTGTGTGTATATATATATATATATATATATATATATATCCCGTGCACGAGACCGGGGCGCCCGGGACCGCGACCTCGGGTGCGCATGGGGGTTCTTGGGCTCTTGGGGCGCTCCCGGGACGCACCTGGAGGCGCCAGACCGCCCCAGAGAGGCCCAGGACGCTCCCAGAAGTCCCTGGGGAGCCTCCAAAAGCTTCCCCAGGAAAGTTTAGACGGCCCCAACGTGGCCAAAGATGGGCCCAAGACGGCAAACAGACCGCCCTATAGACTTTGAAACGGCCCCAACAGAGTTCCGAGAGGCGTTCCAAGATGGCCTCACGAGGCCAAAATCGTTGATTTTCATAGGTTTTTTCAATGTTTTTTTGATTTCTCGCTTTTCCAGCTTTCCGACGCTCCAAGACGGCCGTGGAGGTTCCCACGGGAGCCCCAAGACGGCCCAACAGGACCCCAATGGAGCCTCATGACGGCCCAAGAGAGCCTCTAGACGGCGCAGGAGGCCCCCCCCGCGGGCCCCAAGACGGCCCAAGAGCCGCCCAAGACGGCCCAAGAGGCCCCCAAGACGGGGAGATCCGAATGGATTTTTCGGGCCGTCGGCCCCAAGAAGCTCCCAGGAGCCAAGAGGCGCCCAGGAGGCCCCCAAGCAGCCAGGCCTCCAAGAACCCCCCCAGAGAGCTTCGAGAGGCGTTCCGAGATGGCCTCACGAGGCCAAAATCGTTGATTCTTGGGCTTACGCCACACCGCCGACCCCTTGATGTACATTGTCCCCCCTCTTGGAGCCGTCTTTGGAGCCTCTTGAAGGTGTCCTGGTATGTCTGTCAGGGGCCTTCTCGGAGCACTCTTGAAGTCTCTTGGGGGCCGTTCTGGGGTCTCTTGGGGTCTATCGTGGGCCTCTCGGGGGTTGTTGGGGCTTCTTTGCGGCTTCTTGGGGGCCTCTTGGGGCTTCCTGGAGGCCTCTTGGGGCGGAAGATTCGGATTTTCGGTTTCTGGTCCCCCTCTTCACCCCCTCTTGGGCCCGTCTTGGGGGCCTTTTGGGCCGTCTGGGGCGGCTCCTGGGCCGTCTTTGGGCCCTCTCTGGCCGTCTTGGGGCCGTCTTGGGGGACTCTTGGGCCGTCTTGGGGCGGTCTTGGGAGCTTCTTGGGCCGTCTTGGAGCGTCGGAAAGCCGAAAGGGCGAGAAGGCCCAAATCCTTCAAAAACGAATGGAAAATCAACGATTTTGGCTTCTTGGGCCGCTCCCAAGATGCCTCTTGGGGACCTCTTGGGCCGTCTTGGAGGCCTCTGGGGCCGTCTTGGGCCCACCTTGGGCGTCTCCGAGCGCTCGTTTGGCGTCTCGAAGCGCTCGTGGGCGGTCTTGGAGGCCTCTTGGGGCATTCCTGGGCGGTCTGTAGCCCCTCTTGGGGCCGAAAGAGCCCCGTGGCGCGCTCGTGGTCGACCCCCCCCCCCCCTCCAAATCGACCGGACCAGGCTCCCGGGGGAGGGGGGCTTGGGGAGGGGGAAAGCATCTCACACGCCGATGATCCCCAAGGGGTCGGCGGATTTCCATTGGTTTTTACGATGTTTTTTGCTTTCTCGCTTTTCCAGCTTTCCGACCCTCCAAGACGGCCCTGGAGGCCCCCAAGGGAGCCCCAAGACAGCCCAAGAGGACCCCAAGGGAGCCCCATGACGGCCCAAGAGAGCCCCAAGACAGCCCAGGGACCCCCAAGCGCGCCCCAAGACGGCCCAAGAGGCCCCCAAGACGGGGAGGGACCGAATGGACTGTGCGGGCCCTCGGCCCCAAGAAGCCCCCAGGCGCCCCAAGAGGCGCCCAGGAGGCCCCCAAGCAGCCCCAGAGGCCTCCAAGAACCACCCAGAGAACTCCGAGAGGCGATCCGAGATGGCCTCACGAGGCCAAAATCGTTGATTTTCATTTGTTTTTTTTGTACGATGTTTTTTGCTTTCTCGCTTTTCCAGCTTTCCGACGCTCCAAGACGCCCTTGGAGGCCCCCAAGAGAGCTCCAAGACGGCCCAAAAGGCCCCCCAAGGGAGCCCCATGACGGCCCAAGAGAGCCCCAAGACGGCCCAGGAGGCCTCCAAGGAGCCCCAAGACGGCCCAAGAGCCGCCCAAAACGGCCCAAGAGGCCCCCAAGACAGGGGATCCGATTGACTTTGCGGGCCCTCGGCCCCGAGAAGCCCCCAGGGGGCCCCCAAGCGGCCCCTACAGGCTTCCAAGAACCCTCCAATAGACCCCCGAGAGGCCCCCAAGAGGCCCCACACAACCCTCTGACCGGACGCCCTCGGGTGCTTTTGCTGCTCCCGAAGCTTCCGGGCAACTCTTCGCTTCCTGAGGCCTTTCTCGGCCACCGGTGCCCCTGAACCGGCCCCAGGCCCACCAAAAAAGGATGGTGGCAACCCGACCCCGGGGCGGGCGTGCCGACCTTTCTCTCCTCACCCAGGACAGCCCCGGATGGGGTCCAGGTGGAGATGGCTGCAGTTCGTGCGCCGATTGTGGTGCTACTGATGATTACGATGGTAGACGCGGTGGCACTGGCCGTGGTGGTGATGATGGTGGTCGTGGTGGTCGCGGCAGTGGCAGTGGCAATGGTCGTGGTATTGGTGGTGGTACAGGCGGAGATTGAACGCATGGCCGTTACAATGGCCGCGGAAAGTGCAATCGTCGTGGAAAAGGTGGTCATGCCCAGAATGGACATGGAATCGGAAGTGATCGTGAACGCGGTGATGGCGCAAGAAGAAGTCGTAGCGGTGGCGGCATTGCCAATGTTAAGAGTGGGCGCAAGTGTGACTAGAACCTAAGCGCGCGAAGCGCGCGTGGTTCTAGTGTGTGTATATTGTATATATATATATATACATTCGAACACAAAAAAAGATTATTAGGATCTACCCCCTTCCCCCCAGATTTACCCCTTTTTCGTATTGCAATTTGCATATGATTTTGCCCAATCGTCCATCCTGAATATGAACTCGTACCATCCCAGGCAGGCCGGTAACATTTCCGCCCGTCATTCTCTGCAGCAAATATCACGCGCGCGCGTCGTTTATCAAAAATCACAAGCTTCCAAGAATCCTTGCAACCAGTGGGAGGAAGTGCACACGCGCGCGTCGTCGCGCGCGCATGCCGGAGTCTTTCAACAACATTCAGTTTCGCAGGGATTTCAACATCGATTGTCCCGAACATCTTTTAACATACATGGTTTTGCAACCAGAATTCCTTCACAAAACTCGCGCCCGCGCTTTTGCGAGTTCTTAAGGAAACCATAGGCTTTCAACATTTTTCATGACATGCTACCACATGGGCCTCTCGCGCGCGCATGTCGAACGCCCCTGCGCGCGTGCTGCAACGAAGGGGCGCGGCAGGAGCGGCGGCCGCGTGGCCTCTGCAGGGCGCGGAAGACGAGGGCGGATTTTCGAGGGCGGGGGATTCTCAAGTGGCGGTCTACGGCATCCCATTTCTCAAAAACCACATTCTCGCCTCGGCGCCGCGCGCATTAAAACAAATGGCATTCTCGTCTCGACGTTGCGCATATTTGTTGGTTCAAATGTTGTTTTTTTGTTCATGGGGGATGGGTGGTGGCGTGTCGTTTGCGTATTTCTCATGTCGGCTCAGCATAAACGCTCTGCCTTGAGGACCCCCATTGACATTGCATGGCTTGGTTTGGCATAGGACTTGCGCTGCATTGTGTCGGCAGTGCGCTGGCCTTGCCCTTGGATTGCGCTGGCGACTTCCGTTGAAACCTCGACAGAAGGAATTTTATGAATCCCGCCATAAGAAGAACTCCTAGTACCCCCTCACCGCAATACCAATTCATATGGAATCGTGAACCAGAAGGATTCCTATGTTCAACCCCTTTTCCCCACGCGCACACACAAAGGGATTCCTAACCAAGTCCTCCACATAATATTCGAATCCAAATCATCCACATAAGGGTTCCTAGTTAAATACGGGAAAAGGAATCAATCTCATCCGTATCGAATCGCAGTGAATCGGGATTGGCATACAACGACCACGTGCTGGCATTGCACTGGCATCGGCACGGACTTGCATAGAATTGGCAGAGCAGCGGCATGTTGACCTCCTCCACAGAAGGCTCGTACTGAAATCCTCCATTGCAGGATTCCTAGTTCAATCACCCACAGAAGCATTACCACTGAAATATAGAGGGCAACATATTCATTGGGGTTCCTTGGTATTGCAATGGCCTTGCGCTGGCAAAGCGCTGGCGTAGCATAAGCATTGCCTTGGAATGGATTTGGCATTGCACCACTGGTGAGGCCCTTCGTAGACGGATCTCTATTGAATTCTTCAGAAGATTCCTACCGAAATCCTCCATAGCTGGATTCCGAGCTCAGTCCTCCACAGAAGGATTACGATTGCACGATAGAGAAAAGGATTCACTGGTGCCCACTGGCATTGCATGGGCCTTGCGCTGGCACAGCGCTGGCACAGCGCTGGCACAGCACGAGCATTGTCTTGGGATTGCGGTGGCATGCATTCCCCTTGAAACCTTGCATACCAGGAATCCAGTGA